AACTGTTGAACTGTTGTTTGTAACCAACAGTTCAACCCTGTGTGAACCCTGTGTGATTCTTTGATATCCTGAATGACCACAAATTTAAATGCTGCAGGTGTTTAAGGACTTTGTCATATTCAAGTAAGAATATCTCTTAGGTTTGCAGGCTATCTAAGCTTACCCAAGGGTATCTAAGGCTGTGTATTAGTATATGAGAGTGGCATTTTATAGGCAACATGCATGCTTAAGGGGTTGCAGGACTATTTGAAAAAAGGACCTTGGATCCAACTAGTTGAAGAGAGGCAAGTAGTTCATTAATGAAACCTAAGACTGCTCCTGTATATATGCCTTCAGTGCTGGTAAACAGTGTTTTGTGATGTTTGTATCACATGTTATAAGCAAATATTGATGTGTTAGAGTGAGAATGAGTTTAAATGCTGGCAAACTTTGAAGCCCTGACAATTAGAAGAATCAATAGAAAAGGTACTAGAGGAGTAGCAACTGATTCATTTACTGCACTCAGTTCAAATAGGTCACTTTAGACCACGTGTGTCTCAACCAAAGTACTATGGCTGATAGTGTCAGCCAAAACAGAGGAATTCAAATCAGATCCAAAGCTTTCTTTTAAATAACCATAGAACTCTTATTATGTTCCTAGCTTTAAAAAAAAACTTTATTGTACAAGTGTCTTTTTAGTCAGTTGCCATTTCAGATGAATCATTTTTAAATAAAAGTGTTGGCTGTATTTTAAATGTGTATTTGTTTTTCATTCTCATCATTACATCGTTAAGCTAACAGTTTCCACTGAATGTCTGGTTTTGTTTAAGCCTACAAAATTGAACTTTTCAACTTTTTACAGTTATTAACCTATTCCAAAATCATTTAAGGGAGCCTCACATTTTTTAATTTTTCACATTTTTCGCATTTTGTGCATTCATATGGTATGATATGTTCTTGTCCTGTAGGGGACACCCTTGTAGCAATTTTAATAGAATGCATTGATAATGAACTTTTACCGACTATAAAAAGATTTAAGAATTCTTGAGATATATGAATTATATAGAAAAGAAAAATGCTAATTCAGAGTAGCCTGAGAAACCTTATACTAAAAATGCATACTTCAAGGCAGTGATTTTAACAGGGATATTTCCCAAGATGCCAACAAAAAAATCCTCCATACTAGTTAGTTTAACAACTACTAGTTCCACTGATAATAACCAATTCATACCATAGAGAAACTGGGCAGAGGATTGTAACATGCAGTTCTGACATGTAAAACTTTCTGGGACTTAAACTTAATGCTTCAAAAGCCAAATTGTCATTGCTGTGACTAATAAATAAACTCTCAAAGTTATTTATATGTGGTCTAAAGCAATCGCAGCATTCTTTGGTCCTCAAGATCTGATTACCTAAAAAGATCCATTGCTACAGTCTTACATTACACAAATGTATCAGGATGCTTTAGCATCTACCCCTTCAAACATTGGTATTCTCTGCTCTAGGATTCAATCTTGGAAGCTTTGAAAAACATATTGAACTGAGCATAGTTTTCACCTGGAATGAATTTCATGGTGCAGTATTTTCATGGCCAAGTTCAGAGCCAGCCCACCCATTAAGGAGAGTGCTATTCCCCACCTTATATTTCAAATCCTGCAAGATTCCAGAGTTGACTCACAATTGCTCCCTTTTGTTGACTCCATGAAAGCTACATAATCTGTGCTAGCCTGTCCTAATTTAACTAGTCAGCCCTCACCTCTGTGTCAAGAAAGCTTTGTTTGCCACTCCAGCACACAACAGATAAAAAACATGCTATCTTCTCATTTCAGGTAACAGGAACCTGCTTCAATTCATTAACGTACACATTTTTCACTCAAAGTTTGAGGAATCCAGTTGGAGGAAACCACAGTATTGTGTTTCTAATGAGACACAGAGGGAATTGGTATGAAATGAGTATTCCTACAAGAAATAATTTTTTGTCAGCTTAAGAGTTCAAACCTACTTTCTCTCAACTCCATCTTCTTTGTATTCACTCCTAATGTTATTACCGCTCATCAGCATATTCTTAAAAAACATATGTTGTCTTACCACAGAGTGGACCCACATATCAAATGACTGCAGCATGTTAAATATTTACTAAACATACCAACATGAATTGCTGATGATTTTGATCTACAAACAGGTTAATCAAGCAAAAATGACTCTATGTACTTCTTTTATTCCCACATATGGGAAATATAATAAGAGAAGAGAAACATCTTCAGAATCAGCAGAAAAAAAACACCAAAAGCTTAGCAGCTGCATTTCTGAACAATATAAAATCTTCATTGGCTTGCTTGTAAAAAAAGGTGCAGAATTTTACAAATAATGCTATTTCTTTAATAAAAGAAAGCCTGCCAGATGGATACACTGCTTAGCTAACTTAGGCTGAAATCATAAAACCTTTTAGTGATGAGTAAACCTACACTGATGGGATTTACTTTTCAGCAGACACATATAGGATTGCAGGGCTACATAGCAAACCATTATCTAGGGAGCTCTAAAATAGATTGGCAGCAGTTACAAAATAACTTGCCTTCCAGATATATAATTTCTGATGGATTTCTTGCCAAATGATATTCATAATGCAGTATTTCTCTCCATCCCTTCCCATCACTGCTCTAATTCTATATCAATTCTATATCTATCATATGTGTTTCTCACTAAATGCACCAAGCACTTTGTGTGTCTAATCACATTTGGCCAATAAAGAATTTAATTCATTCATTCATTCAGATCAGCCTTATTTTTAACTTGATCACTTTCTGAGTATTCTTCAGTGAAATTAGGGAATTTGGTACTGTAGCCACTACATTTTACCAGGCAAAAGCTTTAACACAACTTTTATCTGGGGAAGCCAACGGATCATATTCTAGCTTTAATCTCTTGGGATATGTTCAATCAAGATCTAAAAATAATTTTTTGAAGCTTGATACCTCAAATACATCTCAAATGCATCTCTTAAGCTCGGAGGAAGGCAGATCCTAGTAAAGAATCTGGCTAGTAATATTCAATTATTGGCTTAAACTCATCTATCAGCCCATTGGCTGCATTCTATTTTCAGTGATACTTGCCCAGTATTTCTAGGTACCAAAAAAAATGAATCAAAGAGGCATGGCTCCCTACATTTTCTCCCTGATTCTACTCCAACTATCAAAGCTGTTCTTTCAGCATTGTTAAGGAGAAATATTAGACTCCCTGTGGCTCTTCATTTCTGCTCTTGTATCATACAAGAAGTAGAATTAATAATGCATGTTCTTTTATACTGCAGTTTAATGCAACATTGCATCAGGATCTTATTTTCCCCCCTATTAAGAAGCAATACCTGGAGAATCTGTCAGTTACCATGTTGAATGCCAGTCACTGATTAGATTTTTATATAACCTACAATGTTGGGAAACTTCGTAATCTAGCATCTCAAAGCTTTGGCAGGGAACTCACAGTAAGATTTCAGAGGGATTGTAGTACAGACTTATTTATTTATGTTGATTCTCTTTTTTCTTTTTCTAAAATTTCATCTTTATTTGCTAGCCATAATAAATAAAAATGGATGGATTTTACTATAATTTTGGATGTGGGTGGAAGCCAGCAACTTAAGATGATTTTTAAAATGAGAACAGAAAAATTTATAGAGAATGTATCTATCAATGTTACCACCATTCCACTGTACTCTACCATCTTTGGCTTTGCAGACAGTATATTTTACATATCAATTGATAGAAAGCAACAGTGAAATGGTGCAATATCCATATTTTTATGTTTGAGAGTTACTTCAAATCTGTTTTGGATTGCTATACAACAAAAAAGCTAGATTAGATAATCATCTCTAAGTTCTCATCATCACTTCTATAAATTCTGGCTTTTGGTCTTTAATAATAATTCTGGACAGTTAAAAGTTGTTTTGGTATCTTCAATTGCGGAAACATTTACAGAATCCAAGGGCATCATATTTGAGCTGGGGGAAAAAGATGATCTCTAGAAAACAACATTAAAAAATAGTCTTCTGTATTTATCTCTTTGCTGCCATCAGTGGTTGTCCAAATTTCCCAACCAAGATATGGTATACCTAGTTTATATTATAAAACAAGTTTCAAGATAGTTAGACAGTTACAATTCAGAGCTGTATGAAGGCACTTTGGTTTACATATGGAGAACTAAAACATATAATACCTATTACGAGTATCATTAACTATGCATTCTGCTTCCTTTTCCTCCACCAGAATGCCATTAAAAGATGCAATGTAACATAGAATTGCAATTTCTTTGTTACCTTGGAGAAAAAAGATGAAAAGCAAAAGTAAGAAAAGATTAAACACTGAATAGTTTGTTTCACTGAATTGAGGCATACATCAGTAAATTCACACATTTGGCACCTAATTTTCTTCTCATCTATGTTTCCATTCGTGCTACAGTAAAGTTGCACTGTTAATATTTGTTTCTTAGCTGCAATTTCAGCATGCCAGCACTGAACAGTCTCTTCCATTATAACACAAGGCAAACTCTTGTTTTTGGGGCACTACAATCCTTCTCTAACTGATTGATTAGATGGCTGATGATACATTCTATAAAAGCACAGAACTTAATTAAGTTAACCATAAGAACAGGATAGAGATAACCACAGATACCTCTTTTTGCAGTTAATGATAAACTTGGCATGGCCCCAAAATGCCAAGAAATGGTTGGAAATGGGAGTCCAATTTATCCCTGCTTTGGTCAAAGGGATAGAACTTCTAATTAAAGGAAAAAAACTAAAGGAATTGCAGTTGGAATTGGGAAGAAAGAATGGACCAGCCATGTAAAACCATGGATACAAGCCATTATCTTTGTTAATGATGGTAGATTTACCAATCTCTAAAATCTTAGAAAATCGTAGATCTGCACGTCATTAAAATGTGCCCTAATCATATTCATTCCATATGTTTGGAAATAAACTCAGGTTTTACAAAATCAGTCTTCAGTGATCAAATCTGGGTAAGTATTGTCATATCTACCAACTTAAGTATAGCTTTTGTAAGCCATGTCAGAGCATGTCAAGTTATACTACTGTTAAACTTTGGATTTATAGCAAACATTACATAGAATTAACATTGAAAAAATAGTATATAGCACATAAATATGCAATATAAAAATATGTTAGATTATTAGTCACCTTATTTTCGATTACAATAAGATACTTTTGTGCAAAACATTTGTGCTTAGAAGCAGCATACTACTTGCAAATGTATATTTCGCTTTCCTGATAAGTATGATTTTAGTAACTAAAGTCACAAGTTCTTTTGTCCGTTTTAGTGCATCTAGTCCATGTGTCTTCTTTTTTTTTTTTTTAATACTGGTGAATTCTTTATAGCAGCCCCAACCATCTCAATTTCGATGAGTATGGATCATTGAATGTTTCCATGATTGTGAAGTGTCACTGCTTTGTATTCCTGTATTTTAAAAAAGGAAAAGTAAACCTAATTATTAGTTCTCACAGCCAAGTACTGAGTGCCTATTATTTTATGCATGCATAACCCAACTAATTTATTAACAAAATATAGGTTAGAAGATCTATTAGGAGCCTTAAGAGAACTTTAGAAAGACATGAATTCCAACAGAAGAGTAGCTCAGTGTGTTGCTCAGTGGCCCTTGGTGCTGTCTGAATGCACTGATGATGTTACCTTGTTGGGTTATAAATCTCCAAGAAAATAACTAAGCCCCAAAAGCATGAAGGGTCCCACATGATGTCAGGTGAACGTGAGCTATGTTTTGCATACTGAGCTTTTTTGTGATCAAGTCTTTAAAATATTACTAGAATAATATTGCAGAGCCAGTATGAAACAAATATTCAGAGTCATCAGCTTTCAATCATCAGTCACCTAAAAGATGCCCTTGAGTTTCCCAGGCTCTTCAGAGAAGATGGTTGGTGCATCCTTCACAGACAGAACAAACTGTTTGCCAGATGCATTTGCAGAAATTCTGCTCCTCAGCAAAACTAAATGACAATCAGCCAATTGTTGGTGTTTTATATTGTTATTAAGTTAGCACACCTACTCTTTTGGAATAAAGCCAGCAAGATCTGAGCAAAACAAATACAATTAAAATCAAGCCATGTATGCTTGAAGGGACGTTGTCATGAATATATTAATTATACCATTTTATTATGCAACATTAAACACAGTGTTACATCTTAGCCTCAAACCCACACATCCCTTTTAGAAATGAAAAACATTAGAAATGTTTAGAAATAAAAGCTTATTTCCTATTTCCATAGAGAGTTTCCTTCATTTTTCTGTGTTATTGGGTTGAGAATGAGATCAAATAAATAAGGTAGCGTAGAATATTGAAGAAAAATGCCTGCTGGTTCAAACAATACATACTGTTTTCACAATGAGGTCCTTCCCAGCCTTGGCACTTACACCAGTAGTTACCATTTTTAGGAATACAAATTCCATAATTCATGCAGGGGTTAGGCTTGCAAATATTTACTGGCATTTTGGCTTCTGTAACAGAGAAAACAGAAAACAGAGCTGACTATTTGGGTGCAAATAATAAGCCTCATCTCTCGAAGCTGCATACCTGGTTTTGTTGCACATGTGGCAAATGGAAATCAGTGAGCACATCTTTTTGTGTTTGAAGGAGTTCCCCCGTGTGAAATTGGATATTGGAATCACAGCTAGCAAAGTAACCAGCCAGGATATGCAATTTACAGAATTTAAGAAAAGCAGATACATTTGGAGGCTATGGGAAATAAAAGGGACTTAAAGAAGAAAGGTGTGGATTCTACCACAAATCAAGAGGTTTACCTTAAAGATTTATTTCTATTTGTGGTGCTACCTTGAAACTCAACTGCTTTGAAACTCATCGAATTTGGTACTCAGTGTATTTTGACGTGAAAATTTTGTCCTAGTAACCATTGTTTATTTGGTACTCAGTGCACAAGCTAGAGCTTGTCCACTGCGACTACCTTGTGACTCACTACATGGGAAAAATTTGTTTGGTACTCATTGTTTTTGGTACTTTTCAAAACTTCCTGAACCAATTAACCAATTATATTGGCTCACCCCAGCCCAAAGTCAGAGACCAAAGCAATGCTTTATTGCTGAATACAGTTTAGTGTTATCCCTTATTTATGGCATATTTTAAAATGTAGAATTATTGTTTAATATCTTTCTCTTTATGACTATTATATTCCCTTCTTTCCCATATAGGATATGATAATCTATTACAGATGATCCTTGTTTAAGAACCATTCATTCAGTGACTGTTCAAACTTGCAACAGTGTAAATGAGTGATACCTACGACTAGCCCTAGAGGTTCTGGCTGTTGTGGTGCTCTCGTAGTCACATGATCACAATCCAGGTTTTATGAAGTCACCTGGATTTCCAACCATTGCAGCATTCCATGGTCCCATGTTAGCAATTTGCAATCTTTCCTACCAGCTTCCCACAAGCAAAGTCAATGAGAAAGCTGGCAAGAAGTCATAAATTGTATGAGGACCTCACTTAAGTACCCGTGGCAATTCACTTAACGATGGTAACCAAAGATTGCCAGAACTGCCATTCCTAAGCAGGACAGTCACATAATGTCATTCTTTACAACCTCATCACTTAATTATTGAAATTCTGATCCCAAATACCATTAGTAAGCAAAGACAACAGTCTCATCCTCTACAAGTTCAATCGTATCAAGGACATTGTTTCAAAAACAAAACATACTCCTCTTTCATAGAAGAACAAAGTGTTTTATCTATTTCCACAGTTATTCGTTGTTTTAGATTTTAGCACAATCCTAATTTATTTCAATGAAGTACAGAATAGAAATTCTTTTTTACTTCAAGTATATTTTTTTAAAAACCAGTAGCTATTTTAAAGTAATTCTTGTTGGACACGAATAAAGTTAAATATAGATCTTTTCATAAAGCATGGTAAAGTAAAAATAAAGTCAATGTTTTCAAGAGAAATGGCCTTAACACTGAATTTGATGTAAATTACATCTCTTTCTCACTTTTATATTTTACTGCATCTGCTGGAAGTTTGAAGCTGACTGAAAAAGAAGGTAAGTTATGAAAAAATGTTGCCGCAATTGTTGGCTATAAAACAGAAAATCAAAATATACCTTACCATCACACAATTTTTCCATGATAAAGTCTTCGTTGTATCTGAGATCTTCATAAGAAGAAATCCTCACCAGACTGTTAGAAGATCCTGCAATCTTCAACAATAAATCTATTTGTACATGTTCTGTCACAATGATAAGAAGTGATACATCATTACTGCGTAGCTGTTGGGCAGGGACTACAGCATCATCCACTCCAGCTCCACTTGTGAAGAGTACCACAATTTTTTTCACACCAGGCCTTGCTCCTTTTTGGACAACTGTGACATCATCATGAATATGAAGCAAGGCACTTCCAACTGAGGCAGAACCACCCATAAAGGGAGCTTGTTTGATGGCTTTCTGAAGAACTGAACTAGAAACATGTGCATCCAGTCCAAATACTGTTTGAGGCCCTTTACCAAAGAGAACAAGGCTGATTTGGGTCACATCCCTATTGATGCCAAACTGGGAAGAGAGACTACTGACAAAGTTTTTCATCTGGGCAAAGTTAAACCTTCCAGCTGAAGCTGAGGAATCCAGGGCAAAGACCAAATCCAGGGGCTGAGATAGGCAGCCTGAGGAGGAAGAAGAAAACATCAACCTTTGAAGAATGTGGCTCATTCATGTGGATACCTACAAGTCTTATAAGACACAGTAAAGGGAATCACTTTTAAGTAAGGTTATATTGGCAGGAGAAGTCTTCCTCCGTGGGTTTTTCATTAAAATATTGTTTCCATTAGCAACACATGGAAAAGATGATTTCACTTCCTTCTGCAGCTGCAAATATGCACACAAATGACAAGGCTTTCTATAGGGGAATTTGGATACAAATATGGTTTTACTCATACAAACTTGGATTTCATCAATATTTAGGACTAGAGATTATGAATCTGGAGATTTAGTGATACCGGAGGGTGAGTTAGCAATAAAACAAAATGAAATCCATATCCTGTAATATCTCAAGTGTTGCATAAGGAAGAACTGAAACCTCAGTGAATTATGAAGCTTATTCAAAAACACCTGCTATCATCACCAATATGTAGCTTATATTAAGGTACTACTGGAATAAAAGGGGAAAAGGAAGACAGTGTATATCTCTCCGAACTCTTTGGAAAAACAGGGTGATAAATATACAGTAATAAAGAGAATTAACTAATTTTTTATTTCATTTTAAATCAAATTTCAATTTTAAAATAGTTAAACACAATTTAAATAGATCACTAATCAATAACTTTGGATACTAGAGAGACAAATCTAAGTTGGTCTATATGACCTCTGACTAACAACAGAGATTGAAATTAACAATAGCATCACATACACCTTTCAAATGGTTTAGGAAATGGCAACCTGTTTTTCATTTATTAATACAAGGTACATTAATGTGCTGTTTGCTCCCCTATTGTCTCTCTGTAATGAACTGAAATATATACAACATCCAGCAAGAACCTACGTGACACTGAACCAATAATAGTTATTGAAATAACAATTGATATAGTATCTTTATCTTGAATTCTTACCTTGGCTATCAATGCTACAGATTTTTCTCTGTAATTCAGTAATTTTATTGAGTAGATCTTGAGCGGTGGAGTAGATAATTGTCCGCTTTGGATTCCCTGTAATCTCAACCAGTTCGCTTCTTAAAAATTCACTGCCAATTGCAATGATAGAAATACCTTGTTTCCTACTGAACTTAGCTGCTTCTACCACTGAATCCTCAGCTTTTGAATCTGTGAGCAATACGACAACATGGGGAAGATCTTCAGGAACATCAACGAAGACTGGTGCATGTTTAAAGCCATGGTGTGTAATAAATTGTAAAGCTCTGCCGGTCAAAGTATTCCCTCCATTGAACTCCATGGAATCAATGAAATTCACCAGACTGAACATATCTCTGTAATCCCCAATTTGGGCAATCATCTTGACATCATTGCTATAATGGGCCAGGGCCACATTTCCTAGAGTTTCTGTATTCCACACTACATGGAGAAACCTTTTCAGGAAAGCTTTAAAATACAAGAAGCTTTCAAGAGTAGTATTAGAAGAACTATCCACCAAAAAAAGAACGTCCACACTGCATTCCAGATTTCTGTTTGGTGCTGTTTAACAAAATAAGCAAAAACTATTAGAAATCCAAAAAGAATGCAGAACAACAATCTTCTTAAATAGAGCATTGTACAATCTATAGCTATCACTAAGGTTTGATTTCAGGACTGTCATCTTTTAGTTACAGAAATGGTATAGGGTTTCCTGCTTAAGCAGCAAGTTGGGCTAGAAGATCTCTAAGGTCCCTTCCAGCTCTATTCTTATTGATTGATTCAAATATTTAATCACAAAATGTAATCTAAGAAGGTGCTAGAATGAACTAAGACTTACTTCATTGGCAAAATGTTAATAAATTATGTAGTGTGTGTGTGTGTGTGTGTGTGTGTGTGTGTGTGTGTGAGATGGGATTTCTTTGTTCAGCTGTTTATATAGGTTACCGGGTCATGAACCACAGATGATAGTAACATCTTCCAAAATTCAGTATAAATAAAAGCATTAGAATCAAAAAGGGAGACCCAAGCCTAGTTGAAAATTACAGACCAATCTCCTTATGCTGCGTCACCTGTAAAGTCATGGAATCAATTATTAACCAATCCATCATCCTCCATTTAGAGACAAACAACCTACTCTCCAATAAACAATTTGGTTTCAGAAAAAAACTATCCTGTAATCTGCAACTCTTACACTGCAAAAACATATGGACTACACAACTCGACCAGGGCAAAGCAATAGACGCAATCTACATAGACTTCTGCAAAGCCTTTGATTCAGTGGTACACGACAAACTACTCCTAAAAATAAAATCTTATGGTATCTCTGGACAACTGAATAACTGGATAGAAGCATTCCTGTCAAACAGACAACAAATGGTCAAAATTGGGAACGCCCTATCAAATCCAGTACCTGTCAATAGTGGTGTTCCCCAAGGCAGTGTTCTAGGACCAACTCTCTTCATAATCTACATAAACGACCTTTGTGATCATATCAAGAGCAATTGCGTTCTCTTCGCTGATGATGTAAAGCTGTTCAATACCACAGACAATACTACTACCCTTCAAAAAGATCTAGACTATGTATCTGAATGGTCTAACATATGGCAACTCCAAATCTCAACAAATAAATGCTCTGTCTTACATATTGGTAAAAAAAATCAGAAAATAAAATACAAGCTGAATAGTCAAGATCTTGTTGATGACCCAAGCTCTGTAAAGGACCTGGGAATACTCACCTCTAATGATCTAAGTGCTAGAGCTCACTGCAACTACATAGCCAAAAAGGCATTAAGAGTTGTTAACCTAATCCTACGTTGCTTTTTCTCTGGTAATATCTCACTACTAACCAGAGCATACAAAACATTTGCTAGACCAATACTCGAATACAGTTCATCAGTCTGGAATCCTTATCACGTATGTGATATTAACACAATTGAGAAAGTCCAGAAGTATTCACAAGAAGAGTTCTCCACTCTTCTACCCGTTATAGAATACCTTACGCCACCAGACTCGAAATTCTAAAACTAGAAAACCTCGAATTACGCCGTCTTCGGTCCGACTTAAGCATGGTATATAAAATCATACATTGCAATGTCCTACCTGTCAATGAATACTTCAGCTTTAACCATAACAACACAAGAGCACACAACAGATACAAACTCAAAGTAAACCGCACCAAACTTGATTGCAGGAAATACGACTTCAGCAATAGAGTGGTCAATGTCTGGAATACTCTACCCGACTCTGTAGTCTCTTCCCCAAACCCCAAAAACTTTAACCTTAGACTGTCTACTATTGACCTCACCCCTTTCCTAAGAGGTCTGTAGGGGGCGTGCATAAGCGCACCAACGTGCCTACCGTCCCTGTCCTATTGTTTCTCTTATTCTTTTATTTTTCTTATATGTACCCATTTCATATATTCACATCTATGTATACACTTGTACTTATTATCTTGTAAACAATTGACAAATCAAATAAATAAATAAAATAAATAAATAGGCAAGAAGATACATAATTAGAAACTGTCTAAAAGAATGCCTCCAGTTTCTGTAGAAACTTCGTACACAAGAGAGATATAAAAATGTAATTTGTATATTTCATATTAATAATTGCCACTCTCATAATTCCTCTTTTATAATAAAGCATAAATTAAAAACATCACCCAAACAAAACCTAATTCTTATTAACAACAGAGGATCTGGATAAATGGTTCTATCCTGTACAAATATTGAAAGAGGAATAGTAGTTTTTGCTTGTTTGCTGAGAAAATTAATATCCTGGTATCCTGATCTGAAGGATGGTGGAATGATATGATACAATATATAAAATTATATGATATTTTATTTTGAGAAACATTCAGATATGGACATCACATATGCTAATTCTTAACGATAATGGTGATTTAAATCAAACTGCCTAATTCTTATCCCTTCTGCTTTTCTTTATTAAAGAACAAATAATGATAATCAGAGGATTTTTTTTTAGAAAACTGGCTGATGTTACCAACACATTAAAAACAAGATTCCAGTTCCTAAAATAAAACAACATACCACAGTTGGAATCTCCTCCAAATCCCACTGGGCAGACACAGTGGTAGCCTTCTAACCCCTGTTGAATGCAAGTACCTCTGTTCTGGCAAGGGTGGGAATCACAAGGATCTAAATTCAGGACAACAGATATAAATGGAAGCTTATTACATTTTTTTTCTCTTTCAATAGCAAGCAGCATTGACCTCTAAAAAAGCAACATATTTCACAGTATATCTAATTAAAATCGATTACTCCATCACCCTCATTTTGTGCCTACCCAGTCAAAAAAAATAAATCAACAATTAAAGCCCTTAGAATCATGGAACTTTGTTCACCATGATTGTTTCCCTAGAGTCAAGATATTATAAAGAGGTAATAAATGAATACATGTCTTGATTCATGCAATTATTTTTATTCTAAGCATAATATAGTTCGGTTGTTAAAAGGGTAATTGAGGGTAGATGAATTTTCAAGATAAAAATTTGAATTTATTAATTTCTTCAGTATTAATATTTTATTGTATGATTTAGAAAAGCTCAAAGGAGAACATGTAATTCTTTTCATTATAACAGTAAAAATATGTATGTTCAGGCTTGAGTTGAAAGAACATAATTTATAGATTAATTAAGAACCTACTGCACAATTCATCTGAAACTGATTAATATTTCTCTATAATTAAAGGACAAATTTAAGAAAAGAAAGTAAGAATGAAAAGAAAGTAAAAATGAAAAATAACCATAAGGAAATAAAGTTATAAATGTTTAAAGTTTTCTTCATGGGGGATATTTTGGATCCCGTGGAGGAACACCACTGGCCAAATGGAATAAGAGCCTGTTTTTTATTGATGATTGATTTTCCTAGTGTCCTTGAATAGTTAACCTTGGGTCTTTGTAGTTTGGGGATTCTCTAGAACAGAGTTTCTCAATTGTGGAAACTTGAAAGTATGTGGACTTCAATACCAGATTTCCCTTTACTGATGAAAGAATTCTGGGAGTTGAAGTTCATATATCTTCAAGTTACCAGGTTGAGAAACACTGCTCTATAACAATATGCCAGACTAGAGGAAGGAAGAAATTTATGAAAATAATCTCTTTTCTTTGAGGGAAACATTCAAATCAGTGGTGGGATTCAAATTTTTTTACTACTGGTTCTGTGGGCATGGCTTGGTGGGCATGGCAGGGGAAGGATACTGTAAAATCACCAGTCAGAGATGGTATTTGCCGGTTCTCCGAACTACTCAAAAGTCAGAACTTGCTGAACACCACCTGCTGATTCAAATGTTGTTAATGGAAAAATACCTTGGATCTAATGTCTCTTAATAGATATTTTTCACTCTATAACTTTTATTTTGAAGCATCTACATATATTTTAGATTTTGGAGATCTGGATCTTACCTGAGCATATGGTTCGATAGCATGTAGATGGATATTTGATGAAAATGTTTCTCCAGCTTAATTAAAGAAGCCAAAATTAAAGAAAATGAAACTTCGATGAGTTTGTATTTGAAAATAGTGAAGCAATGTTATTGAATTTAATTAATTAAATTATTAACAATATACAGTAGTTCTGTATCCGATTTTTTTTAAAAAAATAGCATTCCCCAACTTTTAAATCTATATAGCTTCTGGAGAAAAAAGTGGAAAAGTAGAACAAAGTAGCATTTTTAAGAAGTGCAGATATTTAAATCTTCACAGTCTTCTAAACCTATTCTAATCTGCACCTTATCTGCACACCACACACCCACACATTGTACTTGCCAGCTTTCTTCCTGCAAAGACTTGTGAAAGGCCACAGGTCAGAAAAGGAGAAGGAGGAGAAGGGGAGGAGGAAGGTGACTTACTTGTAGAAAGGGCAGAGTGAAGTGCGTACAATATTGCTGCTTTGCGATCCTTTCCAACAGAAATAGTTTCCAACCAGTTCTTTTATTCGCTCAAGTGTTTTGTGTTCACAGGCATGAGATTCAGCTCTGCAACCTGGTACATGAGGCAAGAATTCAGAATCAGTATTAATTGTGTGCGACTAGAAACTTAAGCATACCAAAATGGTGCAACAAAACTTGACCTTGCAGGGATAAATCAGGCTTAATAGCTTTCTTCTGTAATGAAGAACATCGGGTAACATCTTGGGAAATATGTTTGCCTGAATTTCTGGGGAGAAACTGCCAGTCAAAACAGGTAAGATTAGATTAGATGTCAGGTAGGCTGGGCTGATTTAAAGCATTTTTTAGTGTTTGATGATTGAGCACCTTGTTCCTTGGAAAGTTATTTCTCTGATCTGCAATTGATTAAACATTAATACAAGTTTAAATAAAGGAAAAGGATAGCTTTCTCCCTTTCTCTCTGTCATTATTGCCAGCATATTAAATGTACAGGAAAAATCATTCTGAAAACATTTCTATTTGCAGAGACCCACCTGTTGGCTACACAGGAAGCAACTGCAACCAATACAGTATCTATACATGTTGCTATTTATGATATAGCAATGCATACCCTTTAAAAATTAACTTTCTAAAATATTTGTAATTATTTTTAATACCTGAATCTTAGAGATGAAAAGAATCATTTAAGCTTCTGAGTTCAATATTCTGCTTAATAGAGGAATCCAAATTAAAGAATTAGCCTTAGTTTTACTTTAATTTATCCAGTAACTTAAACACATTCAATCAACTGGATTCCACTTTGAATAATTTATTTCAATGCAGAATGACTGTTACTATTGATTCCCCCTTCTCCCCCAACATTCAACTAGAATCTACCTGCCTATAACTTGGATCCAATATTCCATATCCTGCACTCCAGAATTCAATTTTAATTCAGAGTACCCCTTTATTTTGCTAGGTTGCTGTTTGAATCTTTCTTAGATGCTAGAAAAGCTGCACAACATTTTTTTCCATCAAACAAAAAAAACATGAGAAGGTTGCAAAATATATAATAACATCATATGGAATCTACTCTTAACATTATTTGAATGATACCAGGCAATGAGGCAATAGAAAACAATAAAAAGCTCCCTTATCCCCTATCTACCAAAGAGTCATAAAATTAGTTTTATAGCCATTTAGAGTCTTCTGGAGGCTGGCCATACCAATTTGATTAAATTAAATCAACTTATATAGAAACAACAACTTATGAAAAAAATGGCACTGTGAAAACATAGCTCTTAATTGAGAAATGAAAAACAAAGCAAAATAAAAACAGGTGATGAGTAAATAACAAACTAAACTGAGGATCCAGTTCTTGGTGCTCTCTTGTTTTCTTGCAAATGTTTCATTACCCAAACTAGATAACATTATCAGTGCTAGTATCTAGCACTGATAGTGTTCTATTATTTGGGTAAAGAAATGTCTGCAAGAAAATAACCACCCTCAGAGAGCATCAAGGAACCATCCTTTCAACCCTGAGCTACAAATAGTCTCCTTTGTTGTTTAAATTAAACTTAAAATACCCGGAAATGCAGCATTGCAGATATCAGAGATTGTAAGCGTGGTATAAAACCCATTGGAGGCATCATCAGTGTCTTCTGCAAACAGTGTATAGTGTTCTACTGGCTCACTTGCCAGTGCATACAATTCTTCCCACCTGCACAAAAGCAAAAACATTGTACATCCTTACACATACAAAGCTTCCTTGTACAGGACTGAATCATTAATCCTGCTTAACTTTTTTTTAATGAACGGCCTAAAACACTTCATTGAACAATATTATTTTTGTTATTTACAATAGACAAATATATACACTGGTTGCAACCCTTAGGCTACCTTCTTTTCCCAGTGATAAACTTCAGTTCACACCTAACACCTGTTCCTTTTCATTCTGGTATTCGTTCTGTCGTAGAAAAACTTTTTACCATACTATTCCATCTTCATGTAATCCTCAATTTAGAACCAGTATTGAAACTGGAGCTTCCATCACTAAGTAATGTAGTCATTAAATGAGTTGCACCTGATTTGATGCCTTGTTTTGCCAAGCGGATCACCGGGTGATTTGGCTTCCCCCATTGGCTTTGCTTGAAAGGTTGCAAATGGCAATCACTTGATCCCAGGACACTGCAACTCTTGTAAATATGTAGCAACTGGTACGTGCCTGTATCGTGAACCCATGACTGCGGGGAATGCTGTGATGGTTGTAAGGTGAGGACCAATCACAAGTAACTTTTTTCAGTATCCTAGTAACCGCAAATGGTCGCTAAACAAATGGTCCTAAGTCAAGAATTCCCTCTAGAATTGCTTCTAAAATTTAGAATGAATTTTACCAGTTTCCCAACACTTCAGATTGAAATTCGTCAAGATTTATCTGGAGATGCTAAGGAATGCACTGGAATATTTGGTATGCTAAAAAGAAGTAATTAATGGCTGAGTTCTAGAAAACAACGCCCAATGTTGGTCTTCCAAACTCTTAACTGCAATAAGTTCTTACACAATGGATCCTCTTTCTGTTCTTGAAGGACGTGCCAAATCTTCTATCCACCGCAGGACTTCCCTTCAATTCCCTTTAACTATTAAGAGCAATGGCAACAGAACATCCCATGTCAAGTCACCTTGGAAAGTTGACTCCAATTGCAAACACTGCAATCCCCCTTTCTTTGATCTGCTGGGCTAAGGTTGACACGTTGTCCTGAGATCTCCCATCAGTTAAGATTATAAGGATTTGGGGAACTAATGAGTTCCTGCCTCCATGGAATCCTTGTTGAAGAATGTGTTTCAGAGCAAGTCCTGTTTCTTTTCGCCCACCTCTAAAAGCAAGAAAACAGAGCATTAGGAAAGCTTCAGGCACCCATTTTTGTTTTCTTAATTTCTGACAAATCCTTATTAATATCTGTATATGACAGAATTTTTTTTTCAAAAGTCAAGAGGAAATGAAATGTTTTATAACTATGGCATACAGATACACACATTCAAATATTTTAAAGAGCTTGACAAAGTTAATGGGTCATTTTTTTATGGAAAAACAACTTCTCAGGATCTTTTTATTAAAAATATAACTTTCTTATGAAGATGGTACTTTAAGTTCCCTAATACCAAACAATATCATTTGGCTTATTTGTTAATCTTCATTGGATTAAAAATGCTACTACATTGGGAGTTACTATTAAGGAGTCAGAATTACTGTCAGGTTCTTGGTTCTAATTATTGTGAGAATTTGATTCTTTTTCCTATGTGTATTGGAATTAAAAAATTCAAGTTGGATGTTCATCTTCAGGAAAGATTGGATTTTGGAGAAACTATTAAAAATGGATGGTAAATTATTGCACAAGGGATGGTAGATTCCTCTCATTTAAAGATATTTTATTACTTTAACCAAAATACATTACTATCAAGTAAGATAAAGGAATGGAAGATTAGTCAAGTAATATATATTTATCAAAGTCCATCAATAAATTGAATGCACTTAATTGGGTAATATGTCAAAATGAATGTAGGAATTTATTACAATCACATCCTCATACATTATTTTAGATTTCCATGTTCAGATAATGACTGGGAAGCTGCTTTGATATATGTAACAAAGGGAAATTTTATTAAGAAAATAAAGCCATATTTTAGCAAATAAATAAAGCAAATATATCTTATTGTAATTGTCTTCACAGCAGTCAAGGTCTTTTGTATTATTTTGAAGAATAAAATGCAATTGTATAATCTGCAACATCTTTTTTCAATTTTTAATCTCCAGCCTTGCAATTCTACTTAAAATCTGAAAAAGCTTGATTACAATGCAAAGAGGGGGGAGGGAGAGAGAAAGAGAGAAAAAGAGAGAGAGAGATCTGTATAAATTATTAATTTAATATGATAATTAATAATCAGAATCTGTGAACATAGAAGTAAATTCACATAAACATAGATGTAAATTCTGTAACAGAAATGATAGGGACTTTTTTTGATGTGGTAGGTTTGAACAGTTGTCAGATGATGTCATTTGTAAATCAGTTTCAGAAATGATTCTTTGGTAAATATGTATTTGGCCTTTGGTGCTTTTTTATACATTCCCTTTCAAATAAGATTTAAACTGCCCATTAAAGTTAATTTACTTCGAAATTTGAAGTATCTTTTGCCCTTTTGTCCAATATATTTACAGTAGATGTGTATGTGTTATTTACACTTTTACACAGCTCCCAGAAAACCATTTGGATTGTATCAGCTGATTATAAGTTTTTGGCAGCCATAAAGCTTTGTATTATTCTGCTTAACAAAAAGGGATCTAGACTGGCAAGAATAGGAGGGAAGACTGGAAATGCTAGATTCCCAAGGAACCAAAATAAAAAACCATTCACTGCTCTTGGCACCAGATTTCCATCATGCAGATCCATTTTTACACAAATAGATATGAATAAAATAAAATACTTGGATCTTTTACAAGCACTCTATATCCACAGCAAACTGCATCGTGTGCTATATCATAGTGACAAAATTAATTTAAGAATGTCAACAAAAAATAATCAAACTTTCTATTATGTCTTTTGAAAGGCAAGTTTAAATTGTCCTAGTGAGTTGTTTGATGGTGATGCTGATATGAAGTCAGAAAGCATCTGAGGTTCCTACTATTTGCTAATTCCAAAGGGAATTCTTTTATTAATTCTGCAATAGCATATGATGGACTAGTCATGACTTTGGATAGTCTCATCAACTTTTATTTGCTCCTCCTAGCATGTGTCTGTTAACTATGCATCCTTTCCAGAACAGTAACATATTGCATGTTGAATAAAGTGCAGGAATGATGCCAACAAATGTGTAAGAATGATCACAAATAGGGTCTCATACAAAAAAGATTATCAATAGAAGAACAGACAAGAGAGTTCCTCCGATATCCCTTATAAGAATGCAATCAGAGGCTATGCAGTTTGCAATTAAAATTAGAATAACATTCTAGCACTTTGGCCTTGATTGGAGTCTACGGAAAAATATATAAATCACTTTTATAACAAAGTGTTCTTCCTCATAGCTCAGAAATGACCCTGAATCTATACGATATTTATTTATTTTGAAAAAATGAAACTAATTCCATCCACCTTTTATTTCCCAGTGTATTCACATTTGGTCACACTTTTGCTTTATGGTGCCTAATGCTTTAATCTACACATTGTTCTATCATCTTGTAATTCTAAGTACTCTAAACGCCTGCCAAAATTGTCTTTGAACTCTTTTTTAAAGCTTTTCCTTTATTCTTTCTCTCCGCTGCTTTACTCTAAAGTTCCATGTCAGGAATGCATCAACAAAGCTGCAATGGCAGTCATGCTTTTCCTGGCCAGCTGCATTTTGTCAGTGGCCATCATTTTCCACCTGCCAAAGCCTAAACCCACTGAATAGTTGTGTTTAGAGTTACATTCTGTGATAAAATCCATATCTTAAAACAGTCCTCCACTAAATGATACATTGGAACTGTAATTCTGGGAAACTTAGTCCCAATCTATTTGGATGGAGAAAAGTTCTTTTATTCTTATTCTTCCAAGACCTGGTTTGAGATTTCTAGTTTTCAACCCAGTATATTTAGAGCTCATCAGATCGAGACATTATCTTAGAATATTATATATAAAAGGTTTGCTTATAGATAAACGAGCTAAAACTCTTTCTGATTTAGAAAACTCTTGGATTTTAAATTTACAAAGCTCTCAGGATATATTTTTTTCTATACCTGCATGTTAAATGTAACCATAAACAAGCTAATTAATACGCACACCCATGTTGTTAACATGCCATTGGAAAATTGCCTTACTGATTGTTGGAAGCAACCATGGATATTGATACACATGAGCTGAGACAAAGAGACAATAGGATAGAATTGGATATAGTAGGTACACATACAATTTCAATGCAATTTCTACTGTTCTTTATCCTGTGATTGAAATGTGGCAACACTACAAATTAAAACCTCTCCTTTTAATTTATATAACAGAGTAAACAAAAACATGAGACATCATAGGAACATATAAAAATGATGAGCTCATTGGGTGATCTGGAGAAAGTAGCTAACACGGGCCCATCAGAAAAATGGAAATATTTATGGCTAATGATAAGTAGGACGCACGGCAGAGTCGTGTGGTATTGTGTTGAAAGTATTGTATTAAGACTAAGGACAGCCAGTGTCAGCCATAGAAACTAACAGGAAGATTTTGAGCATTAAAAGATAGTTAATATAAGTCGATAAGAGAAATTACAGACTTATTAATCATTTGATATAATTTTAAATGTTTGAGTAAACTTAGGGAGAATTCCATATGATATAACCGAATATCATTTTGCTTTGAAAGAACTTTCTTTTAAACAAAGGCTAGATGCCTCTTCAGCTACAATTCTTGACTGATATTATATGACCTTTGAGTTCACTTAATGCAATTATTTGATTCAATGATCCAGAGCAAGAGTCCAAATACAAAATCTATCTTACTTGAACACAATCTTCTTGAGTTGATCTTTTATCTCATGCTTGGTGAAATATGCATCCAATGAGAATTCCAAGCGAGGAGTGTTGCTGAATTGTATTGCTCCAACTCTAACCTGAAAAAGGTAAGATAAAGTTCAGGTGGTCTCAATATGCTAAGCTATGGACACTTAGAAATAAGAAGTTTAAATTTATTCTCTTTAGAATTTCCTTTGCTTCTGATACTTTCCTTTCCTTCTAATTAGAAGGCATGTGAAACAATCAGCAACATCTTCAAAGGAATAATATTCACAAGGGAAGAAGAAAACAACAACACAGTAGCCAGCAGAGGCAATGGTGGCAAATTGGAAACATGAGTCTATTGTAAATCCATCCAGACTAATCAAATGCTCCACTATCAAAGAAACAACCCAAACTCTCACAAAGAGAAGCTGTGTAAGAACACTGTTTAGCCAAGTACAAACACACTGCAGCAACCCTGAACATCACAAAAAGGAAGCAGATCATTTCTACAACATCTTCCAAAAAATGGATACCCATGTAATTTTATCAAGAGGTGCCTGACTGCTCAGCTCAGTACAGCACAACCAATAAGGATTGCACTGCATGCATCAAAAAAGTCTCAGATAAACTATTACAACCACAAAGTATCACCATAGCACATAAACTAACTAAAATCCTCCTTTATCTTAAATAATAAACCAAAAGACTCAGAAGAAAAACATGAGTTATCTACAGCAGTGGTCCCCAACCACCGGGCCCCGGATCATTTTGTACCGGGCCGCCTATTTTGCTTGGGCACCGCCATCTTGTTTCGACGGCGCTTGAGAAAGTGCTTCCGGGTGAGTTTGTCGATCGTCGCTTGGAAAGCGGCGTTTGGGTGCTGAAGGAATCCTCGTGCCTTAGTTTCATCGAAGGGGGGGCAGCTTTGAACGAAGAGCCGTCCCGATGGCAGTGGAGTCTCGCGTTACTCAGGAGGAGATTAAGAAAGAGCCCGGTTTGCAAGCTTTCGGCGGTGGCAGGGATTCGCGACACCGCGCGATCCCTGCTGCGTTCGCCGCCAAGGTTCCCCCGATCCGTTTGGATCTGGGGGGTATAGCTGCCCCGTAGAGGCAGCTGAAGACAGGGGGGATCCGGAAAGGGGTTTGGGGGTGTCACAGACCCCCTCCCCAGCCGGCTAAACCCCCTTTTCCCGAGGCAGAGGAACGGCGGTCAGCAATGGCCGCCACGAAGAAATCTGCAGCCGGACAAGCAGGTGCAGGAGGGAGAAAGTTGGAATAGTGAAAGTTGCTTCTAGCCGGGACAAGACAAGAGAAAGTGACCTGGAAACTTGAAGGCTGCTAAGTATACATTGTCTCTAGTGAGAGTTACAAGCAGTGAATATTTTAAAAGAGAAAGTTTTTTCTTTGTTCCACTCTCCTTCCTAAAGTGACAGCGGAGGGGGAAAATCCTTTTGGCTGTGAGTGGGAAGGGAGAGGGGGAAAAAATTGGAGCAAAATTTGAAAATAAGGAGAAGATTGCCTAGAATTTTAAAGAGTTATTAAACATCAATAAGACTTCCAAAAAATATATTTGAAAAGGAACTTTGTGATTAAACTTTAACTCCAGAAAGAGAAAGTGAAGAAGAAGAAGGTATTTAAAAGAAACAGCCTGTTTGGATTGTTTGGTGATTTTGGAACTTTTGAGAATTATTTCTGATTAAAACATCTGGGTGGTTGTCTGGAAAAACTTTTTCTCTACACAATGGCATCACTTGTGGATGGATTGAAACTTGTATATCAAAAATATGAAAAAGAAAAGCAAGAAGGGAAAGATGGTCTTGGCACTATTTTTCAATTTTTAGAAATGGCGGTTTATACTTATGTGAAGCAGAATGAACAACAGGATGAAGGGGACAAAGAAGAAGCCATCTTTGATGAACAAATGACTTTGGTGGGAGAAGGGAAAAGGAAAGAGAAAAAGGAAAAGAGGACTCTAAGACCTGGAAAAACAACTCAAAAAGAGAAGAATAAGGTGAAAAAGGGACATTATGTTAGGAAACAACAGAAAGGGGGAAAACAGAATAAAAGGGAGGTGGAGAGACAAGGGGTTAAAGAGGACAAGGAGAAGAAGAAGCAAGGGAGAAAGGAAGGGATGAGAAGCCCTAATGGTGGGGAGCAAGATGTTAAGAAGCAAAAGTTTTTTAGAGATAATGGATAAACTTTATTGATAAAGGGATTCTAGAAAGTTAATAATTTTTGGAAAGCATAACTGTTCCCACAAAGGCATGATATTTAATTGAAATGGATAAAATGTTTAAGATATAAATGATTGTTAATATTAATGATCAGACTATGGTATATTAGCGAAAATTTTTGTGAAATGAGAGATTTGAAGTAGAAGAAGGAGGAACATTGTAATGAAATAATGAGCTATAATAGGTGGGGGGGGGGGGGGGGAATAACTATGGAAAATACGGCTCCCATAAAAGTATGTGATTTAATTGAAAAGTAATGTGTTAAACGCTTAAGATAGAAATGAATATCAATATTAATGAATAGATTTGTATCATTTTCGATAACATAGTATAATTCTAGAATGTACCAGACAGAATCCCAATGTAAGTTATGTGTTTTATATTAAGTATTATAAATATAGGGGAGAGAGATAAAGGCATCATACTCCATATAGTGTACAGGAGAAGTTTTTCTTCTTTTTTAAAGAAGAAAAATAAATGGATGACTGGAAATAGAACAGACAAAGAATAATAAATATTATGATCTGAATTGAGAGGAGATAAATAAAATAAAATTGAGAAAATTTAAAAAAGAGGAAAAGTTATATAGAAAATTGAAAATGTTAATAAGATATGAAATGGTATATAAAAGAAAAATGAATTTGAATTTGTGTCTGTACCAAGAGTTATAACCCGGGACTAAGCAACTTTCAGAAAAGAGATTTTTTATGTTTTGTGCTTTTGTGTATTTATGTATTGTATGTCTTGAAGAATTAATAAAACTTGTTTTTTTTTTTTTAAAAAAAAAGAAAGAGCCCGAAAAGCCCATTGACCGTGAGAAGGTACAAAGGAGGAGTGGCGGGGAGAAGCGGGGGACAGCTGGCTGGCCAGTTGCTCAGCTCGCCTTGCCTTGGTCATGCGTGCTGATGCCGGTACCGGTCCGTGGATCATTTTGTGATGCCGGTACTGGGCCGTGGTACAAAAAAGGTTGGGGGCCACTGATCTACAGCACACAGTGTATAGGCTGTAACAGTCATTATGTTGGAGAAATAGGCAGAAAACTAACAGAACATATCCAGGAACACCAACTAGCCATCAGAAGGCATGATGAAAACTCCTTAAGTGTACAACACATGAGGAGATTTAATCACAGTTTCAACTGGAAAACTGTGAGCATCCTATATCAAGTTAAAGCCCCAAATGCTAGTGAATTCCTGGAAGTCTGCCATTCAGACAAATCAACTACCAACATCTACATACCATTCAAAACAGGCAAGCAAAAGTTAAAAGCTAAAAGACCACAACACCTATTTGCCAGCAATCAACACTCAGATAAGGAAAGATTGACGCCAAATTAAACTAGACCCAAATCAAGCAGCAAACAATATCTCAATCAAGGAACTACCAAACAATCAAACAGTAAATAGCAGTCTAATCAAGAAACCAAGAATACTTTCACCAACAATATATAAACAGAGAGCAAACCCCACCCCCTTTTTGCACTGATGATATTACATAGTTGGGTAATGAAATGTCTGCAAGAAAACGACAAGTTCAGAGAACACTGACAACCCAACATTTATATTATTAAGGTGATCCAGAAGCTTCTGAAGTTGAGTGGCATTAACAAATGCAATAAAAATTAAAAATAAATTTTATTTTTTTAAAAAATGAATGCCCCACCTATCTAAATGGAGAATAATATAAAAATATCATATCACCCCCAATACAATAAAATAGAGACAGAAGGAATGAAACATTTCAGAAACAGAAATGTTCTTTAAATTCCAGAATCAATCCCAATGTAAGATTTTATTGCAGTGCTGTTGATATTGTGTGGAATAACTTACCTTTTCTGGGCTAATGTCCAATGCATCACAAAGCTTGATTGTCAGATATTTTGACCTTTCAAAGCTTGCTTTGCCAATGCTATAGGATCCATCTAACAGAAATAAGATATCGACTGGAGCAGAGCAATTCATTACTGAAAAAAGACAGAGACATTTTCTCATAAACGTTAACAACATTTTGAACTGTTTTGTTGTTTGGGGGTCATGAATGGGGTTGGTGGAGAAAAAGAAATGCACACACTAAAAACAAAGGTTCATAGCTTTTAAAGTTATAAATAGCAAGGGAAAGAAGAGGAAGTCCAGCCAAAGCTGTATTTACTATCTGAAATATAATTATAAGGGTTCTAAATTAGATATTCTCAACTGTCAGGTTAATCTAGTAGATAGGTTTGTAAAATTGCCTGCTAAGCATTATTAAATGCCAATATAGTATTATCTTGAGTGTTTTGGACCCTTGTTTCACATCTGTTGTTAGAAGTAGGTGGTGTAGGAGACATATTCCAGGCTACCTCTCTGAGGCAGTATCACCTAATGGGATCTAGGAGACATTTCTTTATTGCTTTCCCTCTCCACTGCACAGCCACTTATCTGAAATAGAATAGGGTCTGCTGTTTGATAAGGGGGCTGGACTAGAAGACCTCCAAGGTCCCTTCCAGATTCCATTCCATTCCATTCCTATCCCATCCAATCCTAGACCTGTCTTTCTCTTATGCATTAGACCAGGCTGGAAATTGAGCCTTTCTTGTTGGAAGAATGAATGTTTTTATGGCTAGTCTCAGTTGTATGTGTATGGTTGTATTTTGATTATATATACCGTGTTTCTCATATAATAAGGCCGGGTCTTACTTTTTTTTGAGCCCCGAAAAAATGGCTAGGCCGTCTTTTCGGGGGTGACTTAATCCCCCCCTTGCATCTTAGGGCGGGCGGTGACAGCTTGGATGTTGACCTCGGCGTTGGTGGGGCACTTTGTATCAGGGTCAACGCAGGCAGCACCATATCCGGGTGTGCAACAAAAGTACTTCCTAACGGCAAGCCCCCCTGGCATTTCCCCCACATTTCGCATGTTTTAATATAGGCCTTAATTTGGGGGGAGGGGCTTAATTTCATTTCATGCCTATAAAACATGCTGGGACTTCCTATTGGGGGAGGCCGTATTGTTGGAGAAACAGGGTGTGTGTGTGTGTGTGTGTGTGTGTGTGTGTGTAATTTGTTCGGATATTTTCCCACATCATTATAGTTGTGCTTTAAAAATTGTAGCAACGTTTCGGCAGAATCTCATCTGCCATCATCAGGTTTCTGTATTGTGTTCGTCTGTGAGTCAGACTTTTACAGTTGTTTCAGTTTTAAATTTGGGGCTAGCCTACTGCTGTGCCAGAATGGTTTTTTCTTCATCCTGATTGGTTGGGAGTCTTGGTCTGTGTTTATTGGTCTTGGAGTTTGCTGTGTTCTGCTTGATTGCTGTTTCTAATATCTTCTGTCTGTTTTGTGGCTTTTTTGTGTGTCTTGATTGGCTGGCAACATTGTGTTCCTGTACTGGAGGCTTTTAGTGCAGCTTGGCTCCAAGTAAATGGATGGCTATCATTTGTTAGGAAGCTAGGTTTCATCTGGGTGCTTGGTTGGGCTGTGTTTGAGCTGGAGGTATCAGGGGGGATCTGTTTGTGCCCAGGTGTTTGCCTGGCTAGTGGTGTGGAGATTCTTTTGTTTGTGAGTGCAGGCTTCCAAATAATTGACAGTCTGGTGGAATCATCTCTTCTATTCATGCTTTCTGGTCTTTTTTCAATCTCTATGGCTTCTCTGATGATTCTCTGGCTAGGGTTTTCTATAGTGGCTAGGGTTTTGGTGCCATTGAAGTTGATGCTATGACCTGTGGCTTCCATGTGTTGGACTAGTGAGGAAGTGTGTTCCAGCTTTTTGACTGCATTTTTGTGTTCATCCAGGCGGGTGCTTATTCTTCTATTGGTCTGTCCAATGTATGTGGCCGGGCATGATGCACAGGGGACTTCGTATATGCCTTGGTTTTCCAGGTCAATTTTGTCTTTGGGGTTTCTGAGGATGGCTGCTATTTTTCTGTCTGTTTTGAAGGCAGTCTTGATGTGGTGTCTGTATAGTATCTTACTAATTTTGTCTGTAGTGCCTCTTATGTAGGGCAGGACAGCTGTTCCATGGGTCTGTTCATCTTCTGGGTCTCTATTATGTCTCAGTGTGTTTTTGTGGATCAAGTTGGTGATTTTGCTTTTGTGGAAGCCGTTGGCTGTCAATATTTTAGTCAGGGTGCATAGTTCAGTCTTAATGTGTGTCTTGTCTGCCAGGCGTTTGGTTCTAGTAATTAGTGTTTTAGCCACGGAGTTTATCTGTGCTGGGTGGTGGTGGGATTGGGCGTTGAGGTAGCGGTTGGTGTGTGTTTTCTTCTGGTATATGGTGTGTCCTAGTGTGCCATCTGTTTTTTTGTAGATTAGTACATCTAGGAATGGTAGTTGTTTGTTTGTTTCTGTTTCCATGGTGAACTTGATTTTGGGGTGTGCGCTGTTTAGGTGTGTTAGGAAATTGTTTAGGTTTTCTTTTCCATGGGGCCAAATCACAAATGTGTCATCGATGTATCTTAACCATAGTTTGGGTTTGTGGGTGGCATTGGCTAGGGCTCTGGATTCGAATTCTTCCATGAACAGGTTTGCAATGACAGGTGACAGTGGTGATCCCATGGGAGCTCCTTCTATTTGTTTGTATCTTTGTCCTTTGTATATGAAATATGTGTTGGTTAAGCAGTGTTCTGTTAGTTCCATGAGGTGTTTAGCTGGTTGGTATTTATTTTTGATGATTTCAAGGGTCTGTTTTATCGGGACTTGAGTGAATAGTGAAACCACGTCAAAACTTACAAGCAGATCTTCTTGCTCCACGTGTAGATCTTTGATCATTTCCAAGAAGTGGTATGAGTTTTTTACATGAGAAGCTGCTGTTTCAGCATGGGGCTGTAGCTCTTTTGCTAGGTGTTTAGCTAGGTTTTGTAGTGGTGCTCCTCTGGAGCTGACTATGGGTCTGAGAGGTATGCCTTCTTTGTGTATTTTTGGGAGGCCATATAGTTTGGGGCATCTGGAAGATTTCTCTCTGGGTATGATCGTGTGTTGGATCTCTTTGCTTATGTGGCTGGTTATAATTTTCTTCTTGGTTAATTTTTCCAGATATGTGGTTGGGTCTGTGTTTATGGGTTTGTATGTGGAGTCTTGGAGTAGGTCTGTCAATTTTGTTTCACAGTCTTTTCTGTCCATTACTACAGTGGCATTCCTTTTATCTGATGGGAGGATGATTATGCTGCTGTCTCTTTTCAGGGTTTGTAGCGCTTTAATTTCATTTTGCTGCAAGTTGCTTTTGGGTGGTTTGCTTGTGCATAGGATGTTGGTAACTTGGTGTCTTATTTTATCAGCTTCATCTGTATTTAATTTAGTTAGGCTGGATTCTATTGCACATATGATGGATTCTGTGGGGATTTTTTGGGGTGCTATAGCATAGTTGAATCATTTGCATAGTTATAGCATAGTTGAATCCATAGTTGAATCCATATTTCATATACAAAGGACAAAGATACAAACAAATAGAAGGAGCTCCCATGGGATCACCACTGTCACCTGTCATTGCAAACCTGTTCATGGAAGAATTCGAATCCAGAGCCCTGGCCAATGCCATCCTCAAACCCAAACTATGGTTAAGATACATCGATGACACATTCGTGATTTGGCCCCATGGACAAGAAAACCTAAACAATTTCCTAACACACCTAAACAGCGCACACCCCAAAATCAAGTTCACCATGGAAACAGAAACAAACAAACAACTACCATTCCTAGATGTACTAATCTACAAAAAAACAGATGGCACACTAGGACACACCATATACCAGAAGAAAACACACACCAACCGCTACCTCAACGCCCAATCCCACCACCACCCAGCACAGATAAACTCCGTGGCTAAAACACTAATTACTAGAACCAAACGCCTGGCAGACAAGACACACATTAAGACTGAACTATGCACCCTGACTAAAATATTGACAGCCAACGGCTTCCACAAAAGCAAAATCACCAACTTGATCCACAAAAACACACTGAGACATAATAGAGACCCAGAAGATGAACAGACCCATGGAACAGCTGTCCTGCCCTACATAAGAGGCACTACAGACAAAATTAGTAAGATACTATACAGACACCACATCAAGACTGCCTTCAAAACAGACAGAAAAATAGCAGCCATCCTCAGAAACCCCAAAGACAAAATTGACCTGGAAAACCAAGGCATATACGAAGTCCCCTGTGCATCATGCCCGGCCACATACATTGGACAGAACAATAGAAGAATAAGCACCCGCCTGGATGAACACAAAAATGCAGTCAAAAAGCTGGAACACACTTCCTCACTAGTCCAACACATGGAAGCCACAGGTCATAGCATCAACTTCAATGGCACCAAAACCCTAGCCACTATAGAAAACCCTAGCCACAGAATCATCAGAGAAGCCATAGAGATTGAAAAAAGACCAGAAAGCATGAATAGAAGAGATGATTCCACCAGACTGTCAATCATTTGGAAGCCTGCACTCACAAACAAAAAAATCTCCACACCACAAGCCAGGCAAACACCTGGGCACAAACAGATCCCCCCTGATACCTCCAGCTCAAACACATCCCAACCAGGCACCCAGATGAAACCCAGCTTCCTAACTAATGATAGCCGTCCATTTACCCGAAGCCAAGCTGCACTAAAGGCCTCCAATAAAGTAACACAATGCTGCCAGCCAATCAAGATACAAAAAGAGCCAAAAAACAGACAGAAGACATTAGAGACACCAATCAAGCAGAACACAGCAAACTCCGAGACCAATAAACACAGACCAAGACTCCCAACCAATCAGGATGAAGAAAAAACCATTCTGGCACAGCAATAGGCTGCCCCAAATTTAAATCTGAAACCATTGTAAAAGTCTGACTCACAGACGGACACAATACAGAAGCCTGATGATGGCAGATGAGATTCTGCTGAAACGTTGCTACAACTTTAAAAGCACCACTACTATGACGTGGGAAAATACCCGAACAAAGCTGAAGGCCATACATGTAAGTACCCGTGAAAACTTAATATATATATATATATATAAATTTTGACTGCTTTTGATTTTTATTGATGTATGCCAACCAGACTCATAAATGATGGCTTCACCCATGTCTTAATGAATAAATAACTCCCAACTAGGTTTCCCCTTATTTCTCCCCTAACCATCACAATTAAAAATCCTGAAAATGTTAGGGTTCATTAGCCTGGACTTCTGTTTAACAAATGTTCTCATTCTAGTATCATCCAGTCTCTCCCCCATTCCCAACTCCACCCCAGCCTCTATCTAACCTGGAGAGTACCAATTAAGAATGAACAATGTAGTTAAAAATAGCTCCCAGACAGTCTGAAACTTCCAGGCTGAAGTTCTAAAATATGATAAGCAACCCCATAACTTCTAGATGCCTCTGAGTTCTGACCCAGAGCATACCCAATGGAAGTTGTGGAATCAGAGTTAAAGACATCTAAAAAGCCCCTAGACTAAAGGATATGGAGATTTACATATAACTCTTCTGCTTGAATGCTGCTGCATTTTATTCTTCTAGATATTCAACCAGAAAAGTTTGTTATTGGGAGGACTAAAAATAGAACCATTCTGAGAACAGCAGCTGTTTCTAACTAGACACAAGATATTATTACTTCAGGCACCTAACCAGTTTTTCCTCATGTACACAACATGCATCACACTGAGTCATGCTTTATTAAGTAAAGTCACAACCAGTCGAATTTCGATATCACTTTCAGTCATTACCTACAGCTACAAATCATAATGAATAGATTAATACAGCACAGTTATTCAAAACCGAATTAAGCCATATTATTGTTTAACACAAAGCCCTGATATATACTTCACCCCTCAGCTTTTTCAAAGACAAATGCAATTGTTGTAAATCCTTTCTGGATTAAAAATGTTTAGAGGTTGTTTTAGCTGCAGGTCTTAGAGATGTTGTTATATTACAATCATTTTATAATCTACAGATCAGATATCTGAGCTTTGGTTGATACAAGCTTCATACAATCTTCATGTTTTCCCGAGACAATGTTCTTGTTTTACCTGAACAAGGACAAACTTGCTTGCAAAATAATTACTTGCTGCTCCAAACACTTATGCCTCAAGATAGAAATCTCATGTTTTTTTAAAATATAGGATTGTCCCTTTTAGAGGGATGGATCCATGAAAACACGTAAAGCACAAGTATGCCTTGGAGAAATTGGTTTTCATCATTGCAGACTTCATACTTTTAACTGAAAAAGTTTTTCCCCAAACCTTTGTTTTTATATAAAAAGAAACTTTACAGCAAATAGAAACATCAATGGCTAAGGCAGGCTTCCTCAGCTTGATAATTTCTTTGTTAAAATACACAATCATCATTCCAATCTTTGCTTTTTCACATTTAGAAGGCTCAGATTGAAAAAAAAAAAGCTACTATTGTGCTCTAACAAAAGCTTATCTGGTCCAGAATAGAGAGGCACATGCAATTTTAAGTACACCATGTTACATGTATGTAATACTGTTGCTGTGTCAGTTTCATGTGCTTCCAGTAGGCTAATAGGTGTAATTCAAGATGCTGGCCTTTATCTTTAATCTATATGGCACAGGATGAGGTCACCTATTTCCACTGTTTCTATCCATCCCACCAGTTCTTACAGAGTTAATATGTATGAATCTTTAGTGGAAAGGATAGTATGAATAACTACTGTATACAAATGAAATACTTACATTGGGAAGCAATTGAAATCTTCTCAATTATTTCTTGACTGATGTGTAACTCTTGGATACTCCATGATATAAATACTGCAACATTAAATAACCGTTGAAACTGTCAACACTTATCAACATACTTCAAGGAAATCATGTCATACCATTCTTTTCAAATATCTGTCAAAATCACCACACCAGTCTGGAGTTTGAACCTTTTTGGAACATTTAAGATATTAACACCATTATTCACTACACTTAAATCTTCTTTTTCAAATTACAGAAAAGCTTTGATTTGATTCTAGAAAAGCTTTGATTTGATTCTAGAAAAGACAGCACAGCTAAAAAAAGACTGCAGTTTGTTACATAGCCTATACATTAATCAGCAACAAAAATTAACTGAAAGATCTGATTTATCTGCACTACACCACTATATAAATACAATCAATCATTTTCAAGCAGTTGTTACATGTTTGTAACAATTTTAAAGTTGATTTGATCCAAGAGTAGATGTTCTTGCATTATGCATTATCATAGTACCGTCTCTGAGTGATAGAGTGTATAAGAAGAGAGCAAGAAATATATGCAAATTTGCCAATTTAATAAAAGAGATTAATTTCTGGACAATCTTCAAAAAAGATCCTACACTTGATAATTATCAGAATGTTTGCATGTTTGTTTATTGGTGCTTGCTTTAGGGATCAGTTGTTTGAACTGAGAGTAAGTTTTTGGTCTCTCTAGGTTTTTACCAGTGCTCTTTCTGCTGTGATAAAATAGGAAGTAGAAAAACTGGTTTATTATCTTGAGTGAAAATATGAAAAAAACACCTGGATCTATACTATTGTGAACATGTACAGGATAATATTTGTCTATTATCCTAATATTGTGTTTTAGTTGAACGTTAGCAAGCAACTGACTGATACCTAACATAACTCTATGCATACATTATTAATAATCACAGACGAAAGAAAGAAAATCACATATAGCGATCAGGCAATAAAATAAATGGAGACATTAAAAAATCATAAAGCCTCATTCAAAATTAATGCTTCCTAACTGGGATTGCTACTGAACTAAATTTAGCTACTTTCATGGAGCAATCAGTGAACCAATCTGCTAATAAAAAATGCATTACCCACACCAGGCACTTAGTAAGAAAGTTTTTATAACAGGTAGCTAGAGAAAAGGGATAGTCACATTTATTTATTAAACAAATTTATATGACCATCCTACCCACACAGTGACGAGGGGGGTTACAACATTAAAATATCACAGTGTAAATACCCATGGAACAGTTATTCCAGCAGCAGCGACTACACACTCACACCAACTACTTGATCAGTTCTGTATCAAGGATCGCCAAACCTACTGACTAAATTATGTCTTCAGTGGAAAGTAACAAGATGGGAAACTAACAAACAAGATGGGGCCAGTTTTATCTCCAGCAGAATGATATTCCAAAGAATGGAAATCACCAGAGAAGGTCCATTTTCTTGGGCCCACAAGACGTACATTTATATTAAATGGAACCTGCAAGTTACATTGCCTTTCCGCTCTGGTGGGCTAGATAGATATAACTGGAGAAAAGTGGTCTTTCAAATAACCTGGCCCTAAATAACTTTTTCCATTGCCAAACATGACATAAATACTGTGCATTATTGTATGTTTCCTATAATACCAGAGACCATAACAAGTCAAATTCACTAGGGTGAAGATTCTCCTTCAAGGAACAGAGAGAATGTTAAATAAATATTTAGGGATGAAAAATATTCTGTAAATTAGGATTCTTGTTGGTTCAAGGCCTTAAGCTTGTCACTTTGTAGGTACAAATCAAAGATTCTTTGGCTTCTATGAAAGATTTTTCAAGACCAAGCATGATCAAAGATTGAGTTGAAAGACCCAACAGGCTAAATCCTTGACTTTACCTTTTGTTCTACAGAGATAAATCTACTGTTAAGGATGGCCTGAACTAGAAACTCTCCCCCAAAAACTAGTTTTAGCCAGATTTTTCAATGGCAAATTCTCATACAATCTTCAGATATAAAACAATGAAACATGTTAAGCAGACAGCAAAGCACACAGTGCATGGCATATTTTTAAAAAAACCACTTGAATTACATTCAATTATGTTTAAATCATAAATGGAAAATTAATGGCACTCAAACAAAACAGCCTAAGGTTTAACTACTTGGGAATCTTCCAGTCCTTTATAATGTGGCAATAACAATCTCAAGACATTTCAGTCCATACTTGAAAGCTTTGAATATTGCAATGAATTTTGCCAAATATAATAAGCATAATTTTTTCAACTGCCATCAAGTTATTTAGAGCAAAGATGCCGATTCTCTTGCTGTGTTACAGCATAGTACATGGTTGGATTTTTAAAAAACTAAACATCCAGACTTATTCAGTGTAGATGCAGTCCTTCCTTCCATATCCACGTCATAAGCAGATGGGTGTTGCACGCTATACCATACACTATCATTTCATTCACTGCTGTCTAAAAGTAAATTTTAAAAATTACCTTGGGAAAACAGGAAAGTACAAAGTGACTCAAAATGTATGAGGTTCATCAAGACCATACTGAAAGAAAAAAAAATATGTGTTACTGTAAGTACTAACCCATTTTGACTGTTGTTTTTTTTTAATTTCTCATATTTTAATATCAAAGTAAATCTGTATTACAGTCATAGACTAGTATAAGGAGAGTAGGGGAGTTGAATGTTAATTTGGTGAAGTCTTCAATTCAAAATGAGATTTTAGCAGAAACATTTGAACACAACAAAAGATGAGAGAGGAGAATGTTAAAAATAAATGGAGCATTTTCAATGGATGATTTCTTGCAGAGATTTTATAATACGAAGTGAAGTATAGCTATTGGAAAATATTACAAAGGGGCATCAATGCCAATTCTGCATATGGTAAAAGTCCTGGTAATACAGAAATGCACATGAGTTGGTGAGAAGGTGGGAGGTAAGAGAAGTAAACAGAGAAAAGTTTTGAGTCTTTTAACGCTTCCAATTGCATCTGTCAACTACATGTAAAATATAGGATTTGAGAAGTTAAGACCTTCTCACATTAGTATTTTTTACTCCTAACTTTGAGGTAACTGGGCATAGATTGTGCTTTTCCACAGTCTAAGTTTACTACAGATCAGGAACAAGTTCAAAAAGAGTTGCTGCCTTTACATAATTTAATGTGGGATGGCTTTTTTTTACCTCTCACACAGCATCATCTACCAGAAAGAAAATCAGCTACCAATTGTTCTACTGAATATGAATGGGTTGTAGTTGGGGAACTGGGTTTCCACTCCTAGAGCATGTAGCCTTATTTATTTTCTTGCTTGCTTGCCATACAATTACGTCTTCTAAGAGCTCATCATTTGGAAGGAGGGAACAAAAAAGCTACAACATAGATTAATTAAGAAGAATTATGAGGCACGCTTCTCCAGTTAAGAAACTAATTCAGGAAAGAACTGAAGTCATTAACTATCTTGATGGAAAAAATCTTTGTCAAGCTTAGGCATTCTGCAGAGAGTAGAAGTCTGTCTAAAGCCGGGGCATCATTGAGGGCCGCATCAGGGTTGTGTTTGACCTCAGGGCCCCAGAGTGGACAGGATGGGAATGGCCAGCTTGATATCATTAATGTCAGGGGTACCTGTGGTGCCTAGTGCTAAGACAGGACTTCCCTCAGTTCCTCCCTCCCTGTCATTATAATCTTCTTTCCTTCCTCTTCTTTTTCCTTCCCTCATTCTCCTTTCTTCTTCCTTCTCCTTTCCTTATCTTTCGTTGCTTGCTCTCTTCCCATCTTTCCTTCTTCGAGCTCCATTTTTGCTGGCAGGGGCACCCTTTGCTGTTTCCAGGGAGGCACCGAGGGCCGGATCTAAGCACTCCATGGGTCAGAGCCTTAAGTTTGATATCCCTTGTCTAAAGAGAGAGAGTCATTGTTGGTTGGACAACTTATCAGTTGGAAAAGTTTCTGGGCAGTTTGTAGAAAGTGAAGAAGACCAAACAATCATTAGAACTACAATCAAGCATTCTGTAAGAACATTCATGATTCTTTTCTGTCAATAATAATTAAGAATTGGTTTCTCTTCAATTTATCCTCTTTCCACAGTTTTTGAGCTTCAGAGTGAAAAGAGAAAGCTTAACACTACATTTAACTCCTTCTAAACAGATAAAAGGCACATACTCCTACATATAATTCACTTTCCATACCTATCCCTTTTCTGTTCATAGTAGCTGCTTGCTGTCCAATCATCTCTACTAGCTAGGCTAGTTAATAGCCCGCATAATAGCCATTTGATTCCCTCAGCCAAGTCCAGAGGAAAAGCCAGTGTGAGTTAAAGAACTGAGTTTTACTTAGCAGAGGTCCCTTCCTACTACCAGTTGCACATGATGCAGCATAAATAAATTCAGGTTCTTCGTCACTGCTGGATTAAAAGGACTGATGGTGCTGTTTCCAAAGTGTATACATTAATATTTCCATAGAAGGAGCTCTGCAAGAAGGAATTTGAAAAATTCTTCATTCCCCAATACAATATATAAACAGTTGCTGGGAAAACAAGGGTACTTATCTTGAGTTGTGTGACAGAAAGGCATTTATATCCCACAATTTAGTACAGCTACCACACACAAATGGTACTGAAGTTAAGCCCCTGTCCTCAGATGCACTGAAGTAAAACTTTCATCTTCCTAGCAGCTGGAAAAGCTCGGCATCAGGAGGTTTATAGTCTAACCCGTGGGTGTGTAAAGTACCAGATTAGGCAAGAAAGTTATATTCTCATCAAGTGTAGAGTTTTCTATTAAGAATTCTCTTTGCATTACATCATTAATTGCCTTGGGATTGTTTAACTGACAAGCAATATAAACTTGTTATGAATAAAAAAAATCTATCTACCCATAGTACGTGCATTTGTCTCAGAGGTATTAAGAAATACTTTCTTTTCTTCCTACAAGAGGACAGAAAAAGTACTGGCACTGGCTCCATAATTCACCATACAAAAAGCAGTGAGCAGCTGTTCTTTTCTGAAAGATTCTGCTATGATGTTAGCTACTGTAAGATCGATCTCAAGAGAACACAACATTTTTCTAAAGTGGGAAGCAGTACGCAAAGAGCTCCATTTAAATATCATCCTGGTAATCTATGGAAATCTTTATGTGTATATTTCTACAGACTTTCTGATCCAATCACTGGCATTGTATTGATGGAGAAATGACTGTAAAGTCATAGTGTTACATTACAACGCAAAGTTATAATGAAGTAGGAGCAGCTCTGTAAAGATATGGCTTTACGGTGCTGTTCCTGCTTCTTGTACCATACTATCAGATGGTATTCTCTTTGCAATGTTTCTGTATGTCTTTGTAAGAGATACACAGAGGTCATGATTAAATCTGTTAAATTTGTTATATTTGGCAAACCAAAAACAGGAGAACCAATTTTTTCATTATTTATTTACTCATATTTGCACCTACTCAGGCAGTGTTCAGTAGCCACTAATTCGATTAATTAAAAGATAAATAAATTAACAAATGAGCTATAAATAAGAAAAGGTGAATCAATTTTCAAAAAAATGATTCATGTTTCCTTATTTATAGCTCATCGTCTGTGAAGAAAGACAACACCTCACTGTATAATTTTCAGGAAATGTTTTCCTTGACAGAATATGGCTCCTGCTATTATCCAATGAGCCATTGCTGAGCTAATGATGGGAATCATTAACAAAATTCCTGGATTTTTTAATCCCATGAAAGTAAGCACTTGGTTGAAAGGATCCATTAGCACTTATATAGCTGGCAGATCTCCATCTCTACTGCAGAATGTCTGTGGGCTGGGAACCTAAGCTACAGCATATATCCTGGATTTTTACCAGAGGTAAAGAGTAATAGGTGGCCTTTTGGTGCACATTGTACAGTCTGAGAATTAGTATGAGATCACGTATTATTGCTTTTTAAATATGAGTAACTTATAAACCCCTTCATGCTGCTCTAAATAGCAGTGAAATTTTCTGATCAACATGCCTTTATCCAGCTGGCAAGCACCCAAGCTTATTTTAGCAAAAACTTTCCATTTCCCTTTAAATTGTGCCTGGAAACTTTCATCTTGTGACCAAGAAATAATGCTGCTATGATTATGCCATTTATCATACCCCACCATCAATATTCAGGGCTTCATTTTTTTTTTTGCTTACAGATGTAGCACTTTGTAGTAAGTTTTAGTCATTCATCCCGAGATGGAAGATATGTCTATGGATGAATATTTCTTGATGACAATGGAGCAGTTTCAAATACAGACATTCCTACTACACAGTAGTAATAGCTATAACATAGATAAACGGAGAAGTGAAGCTTGTAGTAAATCAAACCATGACAGCTAGCAGATGTATACCTTGTCAAAGTGTTGCTATTAAATCAAAAGGGTTATTCTTTTAGTGATTGAGGGGATGACTTTTGGGGGTGGGGGCAGAAGGAAAGGAGCAATGGTTAGGACAGAATGAAAAGGCCTACATTTTCGGGGGAGAGGAGGATGGGAGGATTTTTTGTAAATGATTTCATAGCATTGTATCTGGTTCTGTTTAACCTTACCATAAGGCTTAGTTTTCAGGCATTGAGTGCTTGTCTCAAAAGACATAATATATAAACCCAAGATACTAGTTTAGATCTCACTAGTACATTCCTTAAAAAAAATGAGGTTCAAATGTAAAACAAATAAAAACTTACCAGTATAAATGGAAACTCTAATTGTATATTGAAGCAAAGCATACCTACTATTAGGATATCTGTTCTCCCTACCACATCCCGTACCCAATTACTCTTTAAAAACAATGTCCAGATTTACATAGGACAATGGCTGTTGTGAGCCTGTATGTCATGCTACAGACTTTCAATCCATTCTCCTAGGAGTAAGCAATTACTCTTTGTATACATAGTCAGAAACCCCAGCATTTCTCTCTATTAGATACAGAAAAAGTTTGCTATTTTTATACTGAGCAGAGAAATCTGTTGAGAGGATGAGAAAGGAATGGAAAACTAGGACAGCTCCACAATATCAACTGCAGTGAAGAACAAACACCTGGTGAGTAGACCAGCCTCTTTAAACCTCTCTGGATAAAGAGGGAACAGGTGAGCACCTATAAGTGCTTCAGTCAGCTGCTCCTCGTGAGACTAGCAGGTTTTGAGCACTGAAGGATAAAGCAACAGACATCTTGCTCAAATGGCAGTCCCTGCCTTTAAAAAGACACTATGTTTTCTTTTCTAATTACACTTGGAAATTACATAGTTTTCAAGAATACTTCCCATTGGAAAGTCGACTTGTTTTGAATTTTTTTCAAAGACGTAACAGAGATAAAGAATTATTAAAAAATTGGATATTGACTTCTGGTAGTGAAAATGACAGTTTGATCACCTTCAAAGATAGTATTGCTAATTGTTCACCCCAATTACTGGGGAGGACGGTTTTTCTTCCTCTGGATTTAAGGAGAAAACCTGACATTAATCCATCTGCCCTCTGGACCATTCATTGCTAGCAAGACACAGAAATAGAGATTCCCCAGTGAGCTGGTTTGAGTGACTGACAAGGAGGTG